GGCAGCGGGCCCGCGGGGCGGGGCGGGGCGCGGTTACCATGGAGACGCATGGGGGCGGGCCCCTTCCCTCAGCCCTGCGCGGCCCGGCGGTGGGAGCGCTCTGGTGAGACCCGGGCCCCGCGCCTCTCCCGATCTTTTCCGTGGGGCTGTCTGAGCCCATAATGTTTATTTCGCCTTTTACAGCATTGCTTTTTGTGATAAAGTGATTTCAGTCTGTTAACCGTTAAACGCAACAACACTCTCGTCCCCCTGCGCCTTCGACTGGGAGGATGCTACATTTCGGTAGGAGCCTTGAGGTCCTGCGAAGACAGCGGCGCTTCATTCTAATTGCTCTGGGAAAGGGGGTACGGCTGGAAGGCTGTCCTGTCGGTGTGGCCATCGCCGAGTAGGGCCCTGCAGCTCTGCTGCTGCTCGGTAAAGGAAAGGGTACTCGGGAGTTAAAACCTGCTCAGTAGGTACAAACGGGGTCAGCTTTTGTGGAAGGTGATTTGAAAATGGAGCGTCTGGTTTCTGGGAAATAAATGCTAGGCTTTTGGTTCGAAACTGGATGGGTGGAAAGAGAAACCAGCAGAGCAGGAGGCAGCATACTGATAAAACATCGCTCTGGAGCTCTCGGAGGCCGGCTGCGCGCCAGGAGGGCCCTGACGTCTTCCTGAAAACATGTCCTCCCAGGGCATGGTGCAGCTGAGAGCCAGGCAGCAGCTGGAAGCGAAGAGTGAAAAACGTTGGATGTTATCGACGGGTAGCAAATCAGTAACGCCGGTATGAGAAGGTATTGAGAGAAGCATGAGGGAAAGAGGAATCTGGTTAAGCATTAATAAGGAAAGATTGAAATTAAGAGGCAGTGAAAAAGGGAACCCAGCAATGTTTCACAGATTGCTGAAGACAATACCCACATCGTTGGTGATAGACACATTTTTTCTCTTTAAAACTTAAATAATATTTATTTACATAAGTACTTATATAAAAAATACATTATTTTCTTAATAGCTTTTTCTGGTTTTCAGTTTATTCTGAAGGCTGTCATTGAATTTGCATGGATTTGGAAGTTAAAGGAGTTGCTGCATCTCCTCAAAGGCAGACTCTGCTGTCATCGATGGGAAAGAAATCTCAGGTATGTTAATGGAAGGCTTGTGGTTGTTTTCCTTCCTTATTTTGACGTTTTTACAAATATTTTAATCATACTTAAGAAGGTTTTTAGTTTGAGGTTATAATACATTCTGTAGAGAAGGAAACCTTTAAAGAAATTATTTTTGTCAGAAAGTGATAGTTTAGATAGTTTAGCTTCTCAAATGAAGGAGAGAATTTCCCATAAAAAGAGCTATCCTAAAATAACTGATGTGTTCTGGGTGCTTAGGTAGGACGTGGAGAACTCAGGAACTAGTGCTTGCAATTAAGTGCAACAGAGGCTTGAACCTGTTCTGTGTGCTGTCCCAGGCTGTTGGTGAAACTGGTAAAAGGTGCGTCTATGTTTTCTGTTTTGCAAGACAGCAAGAAAATAAAGCAACTTCCAAAGCATAATTTCAAAAGGCATGATTTCACACTGATGTGTAAAATGAATCTCAGTGGTCTGCATTCATTATGAAGGGGAATTTTGTTTTCCAGGTATTCCTAATAGTCTATGTTTTGAGATATTAGGTGTGCAACCCTTACAAGGTCACTGTAGCAGACACTTTCAGGCTAACTTTTGAAAGCCTGATCAGTAAAAATACAATCTTGGATTCTGAGGGCCATTGTTTTCATTACAGCTAAGATTCTCACAGATATGGCGTACTTTATGCCCATGATGTAAAGTTAATTGGTAATCTTCCCTCAGCCCCCAAGCACCCATTTAACTTCCTTATTTGTTGGATGACTGCATGAGGAATTCTTGGAGTTTGACTGCCAAGTTGCTGTTTTCCTTTTTTGTTTGATTTAGAATGAAAAAGAACCTTTTGTAAATGACATCACATCAATTTTGTAATGTTACCTTTTAACCAGTCTTTTGAGAATTAAATACCTGTATACAACAAGAGCATTTGGGGCATTTAGTGTAGGTTGTAAAAGAAAAGAAATGTCCATTTTTCTCTAATCTCTCACCCCTTTTTTTTCTTGTCTTTCTTGTGCCCCTCAGTTTCTAAATTTAGACTCCCTAGTCCATCTGATTCTTGGTGGCTTGCAAAAATAAAACATAGATTAAAATTACGTTGAAACTATGTGCTTCACCCTGTAAATGTCTTCAGGATGATTTTTGTTTGCTTTCTTCGATGACTTCTGGAAAAGGAATTACATTAAGACTTTAGCATTTAGAATGTGGTATGTTCTTTATCTTACCGCAGTTGAAATGGTACAGAAAAATTACATACTTGTGACAACGCATTACATTTAGTCTTAAGAACAAGACTAAATTGTGTTAGAACTCTTAACGTTTTTTTACATATTTGACCACAAGGTGGTGGTGTTTATTATGTGTGACCTTCCTCGAGAGAAACTTTTTTTCTTTTTCTAACCCTGAATACCCTTTTTTGAAGGCACTAGAGGGTAGTGTTGCTGAACTGTGAACTTCTTTTTCGGGAGCAGGCTACAAGAGTGAGTGGCAGGAAAAGAGTTACAGTTTTGTGACTACTCTCAAATCATTAAAGGTGTTCAGGCACCACAGAAATAGGATGTCTGTTCAGTTCAGGCTGTGATGCTGAGATCTCTGAGCTGAAGAGTGTGAAAACAAAGATGCTGGCCCTGAACCGCATTTTTTTCCAGATTGGGAGGCCAGATGGGGGAATTGTTACTATGTGCTTGCCCCGGTCAAACCATCTTCCCTACGGATCTGCTGTTGGCTGTTTTCAGAAAGCCATTGTGGGGTAAATGGAGCTTTGGCTCGAGTCTTTTCTTCTTGCTATGTTCTTACTCAGTTGTGTTTGGAGATTTGTGTGGTATATGGCCATACAAAATAAACTGTGAGTACACAAGCTGCCTAGTCATCATCGCATGCTGCTATAATAAAGCTGAGATGATACAGTTACACCAAATATCAGGGCTGCTTTGGAGTCTGAGCTTGCTGCATGTGAGCCAGCTGACTGTCGGTATTGTGGTTTTGGTTTAAGGGTTGGCTGAGGGGTTCCCAACAAACAAGGACCATGTGACCTAAACCCTTGTGAGCAGTGATTGTACAAAGTCTCAGGAACGTGGATTATTTTTAATGCATTATTAATAGCTGACATGGATACTATCTGGATTCTGGATTCTTAATCGCTGGACATCTTTCTGTCATGATGAATATTCAGTCTTTTAGTCTCATGATCTCTAAGAATCAACTTTCAATGAAAATTTGTTGTTTTGTCCTTTTGTTAGTAGCATCTCCGTCAAATATGTCAGATGGATACTTTGAGACATTGATTTTTAAATACTCCAGGGGAAGTTGAGAGAACTGTGTATTTTAATCCTGATCCCTGTAGGTATGTAATAATGTGTCATTCTTTCCAGGGCTGGAGACCAGATACACGGGCTACTCGCGGTCCTCGCCCACCAGAGTAAGTCTGCTTCTATTTCTGATCAGTTTGTGTAACTGTGCATTATTAACACAATGCATTTGCATTTGTATTTGTATGCAACTCGGTGTTCCATGAAATTTATCATCATAGGTTTGTTTTCTATGTTTTATATTTAGAGTAGAATTTTTGATGCATTATTTACATTGGAATTAAGCTGATTTACATTTGGTTGAGCTTAACGGTAGAGTTGTACTCAGGGTTTTCATATTTATACCTAGTCTTTCTTGAGTATTTTTAATATAGTAGTCTGGAAAAAGACAAAACCATTTTTTTTTTGTTTTAATTCTTAGCCTTCTTTGCAAGAATTACAGTAAAAATTAGAGAGAAACTGTTGTGAAGGGTTTTTACAAGCAAAGGGAAATTTTGTACAGTGCCTATAAAATTTAAAACCTTATAGTGACTTCGACAGATAGGCAACATCTGCTATTCCAAGGATCATGTATGATATTTTAGGGTTTTTTGTTTACTGAAATACCTTACAGCTAATGTATCTCTCTACGTTATTTTACAAGTATGTGTGACCATGGCCTTGGATTGTTCATACTGAAGTCAAAAAGAACTTCAATTTCTGTGTACTGTCAGTCATTCTCTAATAAAAAAAGACTGGAAATTAAGGAGCTCTCTTATTCCAAGAAGTAATCTTGTTATAATTCCACAGTATACCTGGAGTAAAGTCAGAAGACACAGCGATGCTCTGATGAATTAGGAGATGTTTTCATTTCTTTAGCACAGTGGAAGCCAACTATACTACAATATTTCATTCTGCTTAATCGCTTCCAAAAAGTTTGGAAGGTTTGCATCCCAAGGAGCTGTTGCTTCCCTGTTGCCTCTCTGGTGACTGATTATAGAGGGATATTGCCACAGACCTGCTGTGGAAGACAGGATAAGGAATAAGGAATCCCTGATTGATGATCTTGTTGCAGCAGCTCCTGTTGGGGAGTGAAGAGAAGCCAGGATGGCCATGCTGGGAGTGCAGAAGGGCCTTGCAGGGGCCCTTTTTGGCTGCCAGAGTACTCTGCAACTGGGGAAGAGGAAAAGCTCACTGGCCAGTTCCTGAGCTGAAGCAAGAGGGGCTAATAGGGATTTGCCCAGTAGGCCATCTCCAGTTGTAGTGAAACTGTTCATAGCAGGGAAAATTTTGTGAAGGAGCTAATAATAATACCAACTAATAGGCAGTTTGCTTTTACTGTAATTGAAAAATAAGAGAACGTGTTGCTATTAAAATTGTTTTAACTTCCTACAGGGTGCCATGCCTAGATCTAGGGAGGCTGGAAGATTCTGATGAAGAGGTAATTATAACTTAATTCTGTCCTGAATAGTTTTTAGAATTCATGTGTTGCAGGAGTTTATAAAAATATCACTCTGAATATAAAACAATTACGATTGCTTGTCCTTTTTTTTTTTTTTTCCTCTAATTTTAGGATGGGAACTCTTACATACCATACAGTGGAAATTATCCTCATACATGCCCTCTAGATTCATTTTCAGATTCGAAAAAAAAAAAAATTTCGATTTCTTTTCCTTTTTTTTTTTTTTTTCCTCTAATTTTAGGATGGGAACTCTTACATACCATACAGTGGAAATTATCCTCATACATGCCCTCTAGATTCATTTTCAGATTCGAGGACGTCATTACAAACACCATATGCACAGCATCATCAGGCTCAACAGGTCAGTCTGTCACTACAAATATCTTTAAAATATGCCCCTTTAGCAGTAATTTAGAAAAGCGTACTTATCTTTATTATACAAGTTCTCTTTATTTCTTTTGGTTAAACTCATATGCCAAAGTGCTATTGGTCCAAAATATTTTTGGCAAAGTACTTTTTCCTGAGAAACCTCTAGAATATTTAAAAAATGGTATTTTCTTAAATACCTTAGCTCTTCTTTGTTGGTTGATACTCTCATCCGTTTCATTGTACTTATTTTTGAAGAAGTATATTAATAGCTAGCTTTATTAACAGTTTGTCAAAGCAACTGAAAAATGTAATACTTTTGAGGTAGCATGTAACTTTGGTTTATATTTCTAAACAAAGTGGAACTTACAAAAATAATAAAGATAAGATCAATAGTAGTCAGTTAGCATCTGATTGAAGAAAAAAAAACAAGTTTACAAACAGTAAGTATTACTTGTATGGAAGAATAGTTACTTTTGGTGAAAAGGAGACTTTTGGAGTTACATGCAGACATTTCATAGGGTTTTTCTCAAGTCTCTTGTCTTCAAAACAGAACTGTGATGTTAACTTCAGAATTACATTCAATTTGTTGGGCCACTTCTATTGTAAAATTTCCTGATCATATATCAGCATTTTTTTCCCCTGGATGACTAAGAAGCTTAATCACCACTAATCTTAGGTGCTTTATAAGGAAATTCAGTAGTCCAGATGCTAACATTCTGGTTTGTAGTACAATACAGCACTGTTCAGGACCAATATCCACTATAACAAGTTTAAGAATTAATTTGATTACTCAGTTATTACAGTTGTTCCCTGAACACAGGAAAAATTTTCCTTTGAACTCTTATATCTGAATTAAATTTGAAAAAATGAATGTGACAAATTTTTATTTGACCATTAGTACATATTTAATTTCTCTTTTCCTTTAGTTTAAACAGGTGTCTAGAAAATCTCGTCAGAAGAAAATAGAGGTAAAGTAGCTGAAAAAATATACACTGACAAAATAACGTTAGCAATTCAGTAGCAGAGTACTATAGTATATGGTCTGAAAATGTAGTCTGTTGTAACTTCTTTTGTGTGACAGCAGCTAGCTTATTGGAGAGACTATTTTTAATCTGCTGTCATTTCATCAGTATTTGGAGTGTTTCAAATGTGATAATTAAAGGGAAAATGCTGAAGTACTGCAAACAGTAGTCTTCTGTTTGTAGTCCCTATATATTCGAGAGATTAGATATCTAGAGCTTTAAACTAATTCAAGAATGCTACCTACACGATTATTTTCTGTCATAATTGTGCACCATACATAATCATGGTAAAAATCTTACTAGTAGTAGTACGTTTTTATATTTGGTTAGGGTGCAGGAAATATCCTAACTTATTAATATGTTCTCTCTTTTTGGAAGAACTGGAAAATATACTGTTTAAAAATCCATTATTTCAAAAGTATTTAACTTATGTAAACCTAAGAAATACTCTAATGAGTATGTTTAAAACAGAAGTATAGCTAGAGGGAAAACCAATTATTAATTAATTTGTACATGACTCGTGCCCCTTGAAATGAGTAATATAGCAACTTGTATGGCAGGACTCCAAACTGGCTGGAGCTCAAGGTTGAATCTGTCAAGATCATAATTCTGTATGTTTCCCTATATAACCAAATAGTTTCTCAACTTGGAAAAAAAAATTGCATTTAAATAAAAACTGAAATGGCTAAGTGTTTTGTGGTTTGTTTTTTTTTTTTAAATAATGGATTAAGAATATACTACTTCTCAGAAAATCTATGTGCCCAACATAGGTATTTATGCATGTCTTAAGATGTAACTGTAAACGTGTAACTACATATAGGTTATTTTCCTCTGTACTGTATTGTAATTGTGCAGTGCAAACATACTTGAGTTGCCATACTCTTTAGGTCTGGATGCTCATCATTACACTGCTTGCTTTACCTTTTTTTTTTTTTTTTAACATAAAGTTCATACATATAATTCTGTCTAGCTGCAGGAAGGCTAACAGAAGGTAGGTATGGCTTTGCCTGTTTCTCAGGGTCCTTCTCCCTTTCTTCTCTGCGTTTCTTTATCTCTTGTTGCTTCCTTTCTGCTTTCATTATGTCTTAAATACTGACATGCTGAATGTGCAGGAATGTGTCTCCTGTTCACTTACCCTCTTTTGCTCTCTCTCTCTCTTTTTGCCTGACTTCTCCCCTCTCCTTCTTTTTTGTGGAGAAGATTTTCAAGCAGCTCTAAAATATTTTAATGTATTCCTCTGAGCGGCCTTTATTTCTGCATTTCTTGCTTCTGGGGCCCTGACTGAGCATTCCTTTAGCAAGATATATTCCAGCTTCTTCAATAACAGACTGTGTAAGTAAATCTTCCCCAAATAGGTCACTTTTGGAAGAATAATTTAAATATAGTCAGGAATTAACCAGTGAAGAGATGTGGATCCTCTTTTGAAAGAAAAAGCTTCCCTTTCAAGAACATAAATCTTCTGGGTTTTTGAGAAATGGATTTCTAGAACAGGACTGTTACAGTGGTGTTGCAAGATGAGATGTGTCACGTAGAGATGCTAGATAATGCCGTCTTAGTTTTGTTAGTGTTGAAGAAATATCACTTAAATACTGAAGGTGTTAGTTACTCGGGGAGAGAAAGAAGAATGGAGTCTTGGCCTTCTGTCAGTCTGCTGTTTCTACTGATCTAGCCTCCATTGTGTGGAGCACTGAAATGGACGTAAAGTTAGGAAGGTACTTAGCTGGCTTCACAAGCTTTTCAGCTGATGTTGTTCTAGGAAAGAAAGTCCCAGTACTAATAGTCTTCTGCCATGCAAGAATATTAGAACTTCTGATTGTAAAAATCCATCAGCCCATTTTCAGCCATCCAGAATAAAATGTCAGAATTCCCATTTTAGTGATCTGTAACATTATCTTATAGGACAGAACCACTGAATCTTGGTGTCTCTCTTTAAAAATGATGTAAAACTATTTGGCTGTTTACTTTTTAGATTAAAAAAAGGCAGAATATGAAGAACTCAATGAAAATTAAGCCTGGACATGTAGTCATATTTGCATTTTTTCTTAATGTGAAGCACAGCGTCAAGAAGTTTCAGAAGTTATACTGGATGGGAATTATAATAATGCTGTTCTCATTCAATAGATCAACCAGAGGCTTTTATATTGATTACTCTTTGCTTTAGCATTCTGTTTTGGAGCAGAAGACAATACCAGAAAATCTGCCATCCCCAACAGACAGATATAGACTGAAGTATCGCCAGTATGAAGCAGACATGAAGGAAGAATATAAGCAGTATTCTCAGAGGATGGCAGAAAAGAAAAAAGACCACCTCCAGTGTCCAGAAGCTTCAATAAAGGTAGCTGGCAAAGAAGTAATTGCATTTTTAAACAGCAAATGTATGCTGGTATTTCATTACAGTGTTTGGAGAGGTTCGCATGTGTGTGTAATTAATTTCTTCCATGTTTTTGTCGTAAAGAAATAAAAACAAGTGTAATTTCAGCATCTAATGTTGAGTAGGCAATAAAACATAGGAAGCTTGTTTCAGTTGTTCCAGAGCAAAAAACTGAGGTGATCTGATAATCTAAGTATACTTGTATTCTCTGGAAAGCAATGTAACGTTTGCCCTCATAGTGCACCTCTAGCCTGAGCATGAAGATTAGTGTGATTGATAAGGAAGAGTTTGCAGCCTAAGAAGATGAGAGACAGCGGGAAGATCTTGGTAAAATGTTATTTACAAATATAGAAATGCATTCAAGCTTTATTATTTTTTAAATATAGAAGTATATTAATTATTATTTTGTTCAATTATGACTGTATATAGGACTTAAAAAAGGAGAAGTGAAAGATGTAATCTGTACTTTAGAGAACTATTAACACTGGAAATGGAAGGGAATATGGGATTAAAATAATGAAAGATGTTTTCTGTAGTTTTTGCTTTGACGTTGTATAAGATCCAGTACAGTTGGACTGCAAAGTTGGACTGCAAGCTGTATTAATTCCGCCAGGTTTCTTCTGTGTTTTTAAATTAAAACTAAGATGCAAACAAGGGAAGATCAGTGGAGAGAAACTGGAAAAAAAGGGGTGAAAAAACCCAACTTTCCTATTGTTCTGGAAGAGATGGTGGAAAAGGGTGGTTGCACAGAGCAAGATACGTCACTGTAGGTGTAAGGAAAGAGGAAACAAAAGTAATCTGCAGCTGTGAGGACTGGTCAAATGCTAGACTGTGCTGAGGGTAGATGACCATTTAAGAATCTTAATGAAAAGTTAAGTATGCAGATGTTGAGGGAACATATTGTGCTCATTGCTTTTCAGAGAAAAGGTTTGCGATGAATAACAATGAGTTTACTGATTTTACTTGCTTAATGTTCAGTAGAATGAAAAGGGAAGGTCTTACATAAGACAAGTTATGTTTCACATATTGTTATTATTTTAGACATATTGTTGTTTAAAGGGGCTTTCTCCTCTTATACTCACACTTCTAGTGTTCAGATAAAATTTGGAGGACTTGCAAGTACCTATAAGTAAACATTCTGTGAGTAAAAGAGTTGAGTGAAAAAAACAATTCTGTTATTTTGTTAGGTTTAGTTTTATATTTGGTGGCAGTTAAGATCGTAAGTTCTGGGGATTTGATGTAGTATTACTTGGCTTTATTTGGTGTTTTTGTTTGTTGTTGTTTGTTGTTGTTTTTTTTTTTTAATGATTCCACTCTTATGTACCAGTCTGACACCATCATGTCATCTGTTTTCCAAGAAGTAACTCCTTTATATGCTGTACTGCAAGCTCATCAAAAGGGTACTTACAGGAGCAGCCAAGTTAATCTGAAACTGAAGAAATAGGTGGCAAGTGTATACTGGAAGAGAAAAAGCAGGACTAGCTTATTCTGGTGATTCTGGGTTCCAGAAAGATACTTGCTAAGCACTAGAAGCTATGTGTGTCAGTTCTTATGACAGATTTTAATACAGAGTCTAGCAGAACAATTTTCTGTGTTAGATATTATCACTACCTGATTAAATTAATAAGTCAAAACTTCTTTAGGTTTCAAGATACTTATTTGTTTTATCTGATTAGTGGAACTTGTAGTAACTTTTCTTCTCTGAAAACAAGCTCCTCCTAGAGGAGCATAGCTAACAAAACCTACTCTTTTGATTTCTTTCCTATGTTCCCTCGTTCCTGACTTCTGTAAACAGAGTCTCCTTTGTCAGTTTTCTTTATATCCTCCATGTAGGAGATATTTCTGTAGTACCCTCGGACTGATTTACAAGTCTTTTAGACCCAGTTCAGCAGTATGCTTTGGCTTTTCTCTGTCTAGACTGTATTTAACTTCTTTGGTCAAAAAGCAGCATCTCTGCAACAGTGAACTTTGAGCTATGTGCATAATGGCAAATCTGCCGCTTTCTTTTGGCTGTTCTTGAGCAGAACAGGGAAAGAATGAGGTCTTGTCTTCTTCAGAGAGGTACTAACAGTCTGCCTTATCTGACTTGCTGCTGATATTTCACAAAGCTTGTGGGAACACATTATTTTTGAGATTTTTTTTTTTTATTATTTCAATATCGTTGAAATCTGGTAAGTATTCAAAAGCTATAAGGAAAGGCTAAAGAGCAAGATTTGTAAGTTAAGTTTCTGTAGAAAGCTAGGCTTAAAAAAATTTATTACTTTTTCTAATTAGCATGAAGTGGAAGACGTAGACACTAAAAATAAATAAAGAAAAATACTTTAAAATAAATTGTTGAGGAAAATGTGCTGTGTGGGGTTTTGTTTGTTTGTTTTTCTTACAATTAATTAAATTTGATTTATGAAAATAATGTATTTTTGTATAGGGTACACAGCTTGAAGATGGACATAATGATCTTACAGCTCTTGATGAGAAAGCTCTCCTGCAACAATGCTACACAAGCAAGCCCTATAATATGCAGCACAGTATGAGGAAATCAGAAGCTGTAAGTATTTTGGCTGATATTATGCTGTTAACTGTCTAGACTCGTAGAATGGCTTCCCAGATATTCAACAGAAGTTAAGCCTTTGATGATTTGGTCCTAGTATGTAATTGCACCCTTGGGGGTCATGGGAGTTCAAACATTTGTTTCAAGGAGAGCTGACCTGAGCAATGCAGTGAGCAGTTTAATATTATCGGCAGTGCTTGTATTTTATGTAGTAATGTATATAAATGAGAATGCAAATTATGAATGATAAGCACAAATATATACATACAACTAAAATTAACTGAGTGACTTGTGTGAACCTGAGTTCAGTGTTATATTTCCTCTGGTCAGTAGCTTGTACTTGAGCCTGTATTCCATTATCCATGGATTCCATGATTCCCTCAACTCTTAGTCTGACTTGTTTCTAGAGTAAACAGGCTGTTTTCCCTCATTAACTCCTGGAACGGAGTATGTGATGAGAACAGGCTTTGTAAGCTGTGTGGGCTCTGCTGCGGGTATTAGATCAGGTCAGCCACAGCTTTGGCTGAGTCTTCAAGCTCCAAGGATGGAGCTTCTACAGCATCTCTAGGCAATGTCTTCCTGTGATATGCTACTCTCCTTGTGAAAAAGTTCTTCCTGTTATCCATACCAAGCCTCCCAAGGCTCAGTTTGTAACCTTGGCCTCCTGTTACACAGTTGGCCACTGTCAAAAGAAGTTTGGTTCTGTCTTCTTTGTAACTTCCCTTTGGTTGTAGGATGTTTACAGAATGCTTCATAGATGCTGCTTCTGCAAACTAAACAAACCCAAGGTCCCTTAGCCTCTCCTTTCAGTTGCTTTGGCTCTGATCCTGTTAGGTCCTTTCCAGATTCCTCTCATCCCTATTGATCTTGGGAAGGAGGGAGCCCTGAAAACTGAAAACAAGCATGGCCTCACTAGCATGCGTAGAGAGGAATTAAAACTTTTCTTATACAGACATACCCAATATGTTTCTTTAGTTTCTTACATAGACATAATTTTTACTCTTTTTAGAACTGAACAATAGGAGTCTTGCCCATCTAAGGATAAGCCTTGAATTTAGGATTAGTTACAATGATGAAAAACCTTGAGATTTGATATTGCATGATTCAGTATTTGCATATGCAGAGTGATGGCTTTCAGAACTGGTTTTTGAAGGTATTGTTGAACAGAGTTAGCATTCTAACTTTCTCATGCAATACTAAGCCATGAGAAATTTTATGAGATTGTAAGAGTAAATAATAATTTTAATTTATTTTGTTTGCTCATCACTATGCACTGAATTTTGCATCATTGCGAACATTTGCTTGATTTCTAGTCTCGTCAAAGTGAATGTGGATGTTGCACTGAGGTCACTATTCATTTTCATGATAAAAAAATCTTTTCAGAAAGTACTTTTGTGAACAACTTGAAGGACTTCATGTTTGTTATTTTTAGAATAAATTTAAAAATCTATACTATAGAGTGAAGATAATGGAAAAAAGTTTTGAAGAATGATTAGAGTAACTACTTAATGCTGAATCAAATAAGCTGAAAACACTGAGAAAGGGAGCAGTGCAGGACCACAAAACAACTGGTACACTGCAGCTGGTATGCTTTAAAAGGACGCCAGCAGACATCTGAGCAAGGTGGCACGGGGACCTTTAGAAGCACTTTTGTTATTGATTAGCACTCATGGTTGCACAGACTGGCTGCCTCTTTCTAGGAGTATCTCTTAGGTTCTCTCAGGTTCAAGCTTCTGATAGTGATAGGAATAATGGAAAAAAATTGGAAGTAGTAACTGCATGTATATTAACTCCATTGGGTATACGTTGCCTTAATTGTAAGCACTGGATTTTAAGGAGTTTAAAAAATTTGCTTAAGAATACACAATGTTAAAATTTCCTCTTACTGTAATCATTACCAGAAACTCTAATGTTAAAGTAGAATTTCTCTTAATTTTTCTGTAGTTTGGGATGAAAGTTCCCTTATTCAAGACAGATTATAGTACACGTGTGATTGCCAATAGATGCTATATATAATAAAATAAGGTTTTTTTGGAGGAAGGTTGGTTTTCTTTGAAATTCAAGGTGTAAGGTTTCTTTTTTTTAAAATCAGGTTGTTTTCAGCATGCTAGCTGATTTGGCTCTATAAGATGGGGTCCATGGAATATGTTGTGTTTTAACAAACACTGCTGTGTATTATCACTGTGTCCTCCTTTACATAATGCTTTTTACTACATCTGTTGCGACAGTTAATGGGGAAAGATTAAGTAACTTGGAATAAAGCACCTGTAGTTCTGATAGGTGCAAAAATGAAGTATGAAAGCAAACTAAAAAGCCCCCTACCTCCTATAATTCAGAAATCTTTTAAGGCTTAAAATCAGTTCAGCATAAACACCAGCTGGTTTGATGTTACATTGTTTATTTGGTTTTTTTTAGTTTTTTTGGTTTGAATCACAGAATGCTTTGGGATGGAAGGGCCCTTTAAAGGCCATCTGGTCCATCCCCCCTGCAATTAGCAGGGACATCTTCAACTAGATCAGGTTGCTCAGAGCCCCATCCAGCCTGTCCTTCAATGTTTCCAAGGATGGGGCATCTACCACCTCTCTGGGCAACCCATTCCAGTGTTTCACCACCCTCATTGTAAAACATTTTTTCCTTAAATCTAGTCTGAATCTACCCTCTTTTAGTTTAAAACCATTACCCCTTATCCTATTGCTATTGGCCCTACAAAAAATCTGTCCCCACCTTTCTTATAAGCCCCCTTGAAGTACTGAAAGGCTGCAATAAGGTCTCCCCGCAGCCTTCTCTTCTCCAGGCTGAACAACCCCAGCTCTTTCAGGCCTTCCTCATAGGAGAGGTGTTCCATCCTTCTGATCATTTTTGTGGCCCTCCTCTGGACCCTCTCCAACAGGTCCATGCCCTTCCTGTGCTGAGGACCCCAGAGCTGGTGGGGGTTTTTGTTTGTTTGTTTGTTTGTTTGTTTTGCTAGTGCCAATCAGTATTTACTTGAAGGTTGTGAATTATACCCATAAAATCTCTGTGGAATTAAGGATTATCCCTTACAGTTACCTGGTGTCTGGGGACCACCTTTTGGTTCTTCTTCAGCCATGGAAAGGCTTGATCTATCTAGAATATGGTTTGCACACCAGAATTCTGTGGAAAAAATAACCAATAAGAAAAATATCTTAATTCTTCAGTTTCAGAATACCTACAGAATTGTCAAAAAGGTTGCATAAACCCTCTCAGTAACAATAATCTCTGTTTTCTCATATATAAAAATAAGTTTTTGGGAAAAAAGGTGAATTTAAGTGCAGTGAAAAAGTTCATTTTATCTTCCAGATTTCTGAAGAGAGATGCTGGGGCCTGGTTGTTGCCGGTGGCCTCCATGCTGTCCTGGGGCATCCTCTTGTGCTTTGGTTTCTCTTTCTGTGAAACAAATGATGATCAGCGCCTGAGCACTTTACAATGAATGGCACAAGTTTATGGTTCAGTGTTACTCTAATAAAAATAATAATAAGATCATGTTAAATCCCCTTTGGCCTTAGGATGATCTTTCCCGAAAGGTTTTTCAGATTGGCGTGTCTCAGCAGAAAATTGTGGCATGCAGCAAATAAAAATTGTGTGGTGAGACTAAGTCTTAAAATAATTTTTTTTGACTAAATATTGCTGGAGGTAAAGTTTCATTCTCTGAATTGGAATCTGTCTCAACCATGAAACCTGGAATAGTGTGAGTTTCCTCAAGCTCTACTGTACTTATAGAATTTATTGGAAACAATACAGAGATAGAGATGCTGTCTGTCAACAGAAATACTAGAATTCTCATATTTATTGACAACTAATACGCATAGACAATTTGAGTGTGTAGCAGAGAATATTATTTGTCTCTGATATGCAAATAAAACTATTCAAAAAGATGG